TTTTGTATCAGCATTAATTGACAGCACTGATATAATTCGTGCTTTCCCAAAATTCTATAGAAAATCTTTGTTTTCTAATATTGTTAGTATTAAAATTAAAGATAAAGATGTAAATTGGTGGCTTAGTAAGTATTATTATATATCTGATATTGCAAGTATATAAGCATAATATTAATAGTATATTAATAATAATAAATAATAACGAGTAATAATGAGTAATAACGAAAGTGAACCAAATCCTAAGTTAGAGTTAGACAATATTCTCATTATCAAACTTCTTTAATAATAATATACTAATATAATAATTATTAATTTAAGGTATTGTTAATACTCAAGTTTTACTGAGTAGCAGATAAAAAGCCACATAAATTCGTGCTCATTTGGTAGTATAAAGAAGAGGACAAATTATAAGGATGCCCAAGATTAAAATTAATTAAGCAATATAGTTGCATCCCAATAGAATATATAGATAAAACCATTTATATAGTCCCAAGATTTGATAAAAAAAATTAAATATTTTTATGTTTTAATATTTAAAGTATGGATTAATCAATTTGTAACCGTAGGTTACAATAAATTTTTGTAACAGTAACTAAGATCAGGTTTATGTGAATATCAAAACAATATTTTTTTATAAATAAGCCCTTGCAGTTAAAGGTTAGAGTTAGGGTGATATTATAGTTGAAGCAAGATATAGTTTATATCAAAATTTAGCAAGGAATTTTTTTTGTTAGAATGTAAAAGATGGTTTTATAATCAAATTTTTGAGTTATTCAAGATTTTTTTTTAAAAAATAGGTTTTGTTTTGATTTCACATTACACCTGATCTTAAAATTTAATTGGCTTTATTGGATGCGGTTACAGTAACCATGGTTACAAATTTATTAACTCTTAAAGTATATATTTTTTAAATTAATTACAAAAAGACAAAAGTATTAAATATTGTACTACATTTAATTAATAATTGAGATTATATAAGCTATTAATTATAATGTAATACAATAAAGTCATTAAGCTTTTCAAATGATAAGTATTGATATATAGCTAAAAATCGCAATATAGTATATGTAATAATTTTATTAAGAAATGAATTAAGCTATAACTCACAAGATAATACAATATTAATATATATCAAAATATAAATATATCGATAAACTCTAATATATAAAAATATAATAGTGATAAATATCAATAGCAAACAAAAAATATCGAATGTAATTAAAAAATAGATATATTTCGATATATAGCAAGAAAATTAATAAATACCATTAAAAGCTATAAAATGATAATTATCAAATTATTGCTTACTAATAAAAAATATAATATCAATACATAATGTATTTTTTAATAACTGATATATAGTGCTAATGTTTCAATCGATATATATCAATGATATGATATGTAATAATATATTTTCCTTGAGGATAAAATTCGATCACTTAGATAATTAGCGATATATATCTATTATCGATTAATAGCAATAAATATATATTAGCTAGGTAGTGATATATAGCTATATATTGATTTATATCAATAAAATATTTAACAATATATATCATTTATTTGATATATATCAATAACTATCTATTTACGATATTTACCAGTTATTAGATATATATCGATTTTTATATATATATATTGATATATATTATTATTTTCTATTTGATATTTATCGATTTTTTGCTATATATCGATATTTATCTCTATAAAAAATTTTCTGATACATGCTATTTCATTTTCCTCTGCTTTTTGTTTAAACCATCTCTAGTTGCATTCTAAATTCACATACTCTATATTAAGATATTCTAGAACTATCTTGTTTATACTACTTCTTATTTCACTATCTCACTTTAAATTTTTTCACCTTACTGTAGTCTTGAAAAGGTTGTACCAAGGGTCTTTAAATTTCAAAACTGCTCCTTTTTTAGCTCCTTCTTTTGATAACTTATCTGCCAAGTTATTTTCCCAAATATTGCTATGCTCTTTGATTTTCTTTATATACAGATCTATGCTTTTAATTTTTTTGAACCTTTGTATATGCTACAAAATACTTCTGTTTTTGATTTTTAGCTCTTCTTTTAATTTGTGTATTCTTTGACTTTTCTTAATAGCTTAAATTGCTGTAGTGCTATCTGTTACTATTGTAACCCTTGCATTCTTAGATATTGCAAATAGTGGGCTTGCTATAGCTTCTAGTTTAGATAAAGGCCAATTAGTTATTGTATACGAAAAGTCTGTTATGCCTCTTTTTTTTTGAATACTACCCAGCCTGCTTACATTTTTGCTTTATTATATTGTTCTTTAGGGTTTAGCTATGAGCCTGTATAAAAAATAAGTTCTTTTTTTTCTTGAAGCAGGTGTGCTTTTTCTTGTAACTTTCTTATTATATCTGCATCTTGGACTCTATTTTCTATGATTTCTTCTTCCAAAGACTGAATTTTTATATTTTCAATAATTGGTGAGTGATTTAATTGTGTGTTTTCATGAGTTGGTTCCTTAAGGGACAGATATTGTTTTGGTATTTTGAGTTCCCAGACTTTATTATTTTCATGTTGTATTTTTTCTAAGAGGTTTTTGTTTATAACTCTTTTTGTCATTTTAAACTTTCTTCTGTTCATACAGAGTTGGTCTCCTATACCTTGTTTGCATCTTTTGTATTGTACTAGATGGAGATTTTGGCTTGTTAAATTAGTTTCTTCTTTCTAATATTCTATTTCTAATACCACTGATTTTCTTTTTCTTGCTATTTTTCCTATATTGGCACTTTTGTCTGGGTTTTCATATATTATCTACTCTTTTTTCCTCAAGTCTTGATTTATTTTTCCAAGGCTTACTCTAATTTCTAGACTCTTTACTAACTTGTGCTATATTCTTTTTTGCAGATTCTTTGATCTTTAATCTCCAATATTTTGTTTTCTAAACTTATGAACCACTTGGGTTTTTTGCCTTTAGTTTGGACTCCTCTGATTCTTTTGACTTGCTCCTATGTTAGTAATTTGCCTTTTGCGGTTTTAACAATTTGGTCTAAAAAGAAAATGTTAACTGTTTTCTTCTTGCAAAAACTATTTGCATTTTTAGTATTAAGCAGGTCTGCTATTTTGATTCTTTGTTTTTCTAAAATTAGCACCTTTTCTAGCTCTGGAGCTCAAATATTTATTTTGAGATTACTTGCTTTTTGAAAGATTTTGTAGTTAATATTGTGTCAGATTTTCACTTTGTCTAATCTTGTTTTACTGAAGGCTAAGATACAATTGGCTCTCTTGCAGTCTAGTTGTGTATGTTTTAGTCTCAACCAGGTTATCTGTTCAATCTCTTTATGGTTGTTTAATCTTGCTGTTAGTTCTGTTATATGTGTTATTTGATTTTGCTATATGGTTTTAAGCCTGACAATATTCTTATATACAGGCACTGTGTTTGCAACTGTTTTAACTATAACAGCTTTGTTTTTAATTAGACTGAGGATAGAGCTTTGGAGCCTGTTGTACACTTCCTTGGGCAAAATATGTGCTATATTCTATACTCAATTCTTGGTAAAAGAACTCTGTTATTTAAGTAGACTAGGTGTGCTAGCAAAATCCTTTTCTTTTTAAACATATTGACTATCATATTTACTTTATTTTGTACTATATATTGCTGCTCTTCTTTCTGCTTTTGCTATGAGCTACACTCCTAGAAATCTAGTTGTTTCTTTTTCTTTTTTAATTAAAATCTGTTCACCTCCTTTTAGTTTTTCTTCTTTTTGCTTTTATTTAAAACTATTAGTTCTGACTTCTTTGTATTAATCTCAATGTCATTAATTTTGTAGAACTTTCTGTGATTTCTAGAATCTTTTTGAGCTCTTCTTTGGAGGTTGCAATATATGTTGTGTTGTCTGTATAGGCAATTACTTCAATTTTTTTTTTTTGCCTTTCTATTTTATTTGTTCTTAGGTTTGTTGGCCAATCTACTTAAACTTCATATCCTACTTCTTTCTTTTTTTTATTGTGACTAATAGAGAGTCATAAAAAATTTTCTATACTAGGGAGAAAATTACTTCTCCTTGGTCAATTCCATTTTGTGCCTGGAACCATTCTGTTGGGCCGTATTTGGTTAGAACCTCCATTTCTTTTTTATCATAAAGATCTATGATGAAGCTTCTGGTTTTCTCTGGGATTTTTATTCTTTTTAGTACCAGGTTTAGCATTTGGAGGCTTACTGAATCAAAGACTTTTTTCATATCTTGAAAAAATAGCAAGACCTTTTTTTTTTTTCTTTGGCATCTTCTAGAATACAGTTAATTAGATGTATTGGTGCTGCTGTTCCTTTTTCTAGAAGCTCTGCAAAGTTTCGGCACTTTAGTATTTTGCTAAGTCTGTTGTTTACTATTCTAACAACTATTTTTTGAAAAGTCTCTAGGAGTAATATAGATCGGAAGTTGTTTAGTTTGTATCCCTATCCTTCTTTTTTTGGTATTGGGTAGAGCATTCTGATTTTCCACTTCTTGGAGATTTTCCCTGATTTTATACATGTATATGCTAAGCTGATGAATTTGCTTTTTGCATAACTTTCTATATTTTTAAAAAGAGGGTAGGTATTCCTAATAACCCTGGGGCTGACTCATTCTTTGTTTAAAATAGATCTAGATCCTACTCTTCTTGCTTTACTCTCTCAGTTAGCCTCTCCTACTATTCTTCTTCTATACTTTCTAATGATTTATACTCTTTTCTTCAGAATAATGAAAGTTCCTCTATTTTTATATTTTTTTTTCTGAACTGTCTTTGGAAATGGTTCTTAACTAATTCAAGTACTTCTTGTAGACTATATATTAGCTCTTCTTTATCATTTTTTTCAAGTAATATTCTGTCTAGCTTTAATTTGTTTGATAGTTTTTCTAGTAAGCTGTTGATCATTTTTTTCTAATTGTTTACTATTATTGCATGCCTCTTCTTGATATGTTCTTGAATTGTTTTCTCTTCCTCTTTTTTTTTTTTTTCTTTCTATATTTTGTGTAGCCCTTTCTACTACAACTTAAGCTCAGTTCTAGTATTCATTTCCTCCTGTTCATCTTGTATTTTCTCTTTGGAAGAAACATCTGTAAACTTGCTTTCTAGAACTAGTAACCATTCTTTCGCTAGCTTGTCTGTTGGGTCTTCTCTATCAGATGTAGTTTCTCTCATATTTGCAAGTTTTTTAAGCTTTTGATATTACTTTCTGGTTGTTTTTATATTTCTTTTAAGACTCTTTAACTTTTCATTTTCTAGTTGTAGTTTTAAAAGTTCTGGTGTCCTTTTTTTTAAGGAGAGAATATTTTCTGCTGCTCTTTGAATGGCTTTTTGTATTTTTCCCCACATTTTATCTATGTTGATATCTTCTAATAGATTTGTTTCATTGAAAGGCTAGTATCGACATTTTCCTTCTTCTTTGAATGATTTTTTAAGCTTCTTTTTTATTTTTTTTTGTAGCTGCTTCTCTTTTTAAGATTTATACTAACTTTTTGCGGAGCCTCGCAAAGGAGATTTTTCTTTCATAGAGCCCATTTCTACTTTGTCTAATAGCAGCTTATGGTTGCTTGCTCTTATATGTTTTGCATCATATGTTTTGGCTGCTACTAAATTTAGACTCCAGCTTCATGATATCCAAAGATAATTGATTTTAGTTTTCCTTTCTCGTCTAGCTTATGTTGTTATATGACTTTGGGAATTTGCTATCTTGAGTGCATTAACCATATTTTTCTTTTCTAAAATATTTATAATTTGTCTCTTTTTGTTTCTGGGTTTTTGTAATAACAGTTTGCCTTTTCTCTTTTCTATTTCTTTGTTTTTTTCTTCTGCTTAGATATCTATATTAAAATCTTCTAGAATTATAAGCTTGTTCAGTTTGTGATCTTGAAACTCTAATCTTTTCTTTAAAATCTTGTAAATTTTCTCTTGTATTTCGGGTTATTTGGTGCTATATATAATGCCATAATGTATATTCTTAGTTTTTTAAAATCTAGCCTTATTTCTAATATATTTGGGTTGATATAATTAACTTTAGAGATGTTATTTTCCTATCTTTTTTTTATAATGATTCTACCCCTGACCCCTTGTGCTTATATTTTTCTGCTATTACCCAGAAATTGTAATACTTTTTAGAGTTTTTAGTAAAAAGTTTTCCTTCTCTTTCAGAGATGTTTGTTTTTTCTAAACCTATAATATCTAATTTCTTTTCTTTAATGAAATCTAAAATTAAGTCAAATTTGTCTTTGTTCATTTAAGCCCATTTATATTGTGATATTCAATATTCAGTTTTTCTAAATTGTCTATGTTGTCTTGAGGAGGTTGGTTATTGTCTATATGTTGTATAAACAGGCCTTCCATCCTGCATTGGCTCTTTTGAATTCCTATGGCTACTTTTAGGAATGGTTTGGGGTTTCTCCCTTTCTAGCAATTGTGTGTTGTTCTTGTTTGGTTTTTAGCCTATCTAGTTTGTTCAAAATTTAGTTTAACAAGTTCTCAATTCTGCTACTTTCTTTTTTAAGTAGGCTATTTCTGTTAGTATTTGTCTTTGCATCTCTGCTATTTTTTGCATCTGGTTTGCTTAGCAGGGGCTTTCTGGTTACAGTTTCTTTTTCTGAATTTTTCTTTCTATTAGATAATCTTTTTTTATAGTTTGGTTAGTTCCAAACTCTCTCTACATATACTGTAAATTGTTTTCTTTATTTTTTATAAAGATTTCCATTACTTTGCTTTTTTTACCTTCTAGATCTGCTAATTCTTGTTTTTTTTTATTTTTCTTAGTTTTTAACTACTGTAGCCATTTTAATTTTGTGTTGTAATAATATACTGGGAATTTGCATGCTGCCTACATGTCTTTGTTGCTCTCAAAATAAATGCTAGCTGTTTGCCATTGATTTCTATTTCTGTTCCTAGATATATATGCTACTTTTGCTTTTGTAATTTTAATTTGTTTAAGGAAAGCTGATTCTATTGCTGATCTGGAGATATCTTTAATTATCGCTTTGTATCTATTTCTCTCTTGAAGTATTTCAGTATCGAATATGCCTTGTGTTAGTCTTGACATTTTTTCTTCTTCAAGATATATTGGCCAAATTGTTTGTAATAGCTCTTTTTTCTTTCTATCTATATGTATACAGCCTTGTTTTTGCTATTTGCTCTAATATTTACAACTACTGTTTTTCTATAAAAACTAAAATATATTTTAATTTGGTTGGTTCTCATTTTACTTGAAATATCTCATACTGTAATATTTATCTTTTCTGGTTTTTCTTTCATTTTAAGTCTATACTCTTTGACATCTTTGGATACTCAGATTGATTTGTAGATATCATCATTGTTTATACTTTCTTTATAATTGTTGGGGTTTGGATTTTCTTGTATCAGCTCTTCAGTTTCTTTGGTATCTTTTTCCTTTTTCAAGAGACTATTTTGGAAGTTTGGTAGCTTTCTATATTTTTGACTATTTCCATATTATCAGATTTCTCGTCTACATTAGCCATTTGTATAGCTTTTTTGTTTTCTTGTTTGTTTTTGTCTCTAATTTCTTCTGTTCCAAAATCTGGTTGTCCTACTTCTTGTTTAATTAGACTATCTATCAGACTGTTTGTATCTGAGTCTTTTGTATTACTATTGCTATCTTTATTGCTAGTAGGCTTTTCTTTATCTCTTATTCTGATATATTTACAGTAGTTGTATATTTCTATAATATTTCTAAAAAGATATATTATCTCCAGTGCTGCACTTGTTATTGCTACTAGCTCTTTGTCTATTCTCAATACTTCTGGCTCGTGAGCTTTCTTTATTTCTTTGAATTTATCTTTTGTCTTGGTAAAGATTTGTTAATATTTGTCTAACTTTCCATACCAGTTTATACTTTTAGATATTTTTTGATTATCTTATATTACTGATCCTTGCATTGTGTTCTCGGTTGCTATAGTATTTTGTTTATGTAATCTGTTTATATATTTGTTTATATTTTGTTTATTTTGGATTTTGTGTTATTAGTTTATTCTCTTGCCTAAATCAGATGCATATTTGTTTGTTTTGTTTTGTGTTTATACTTGTAAACAGATTTGCAATACAGGGTCTATTGTGAATCTTCAATTTTTGGAAAAAAATTTTTGTGTAGTTTTTGTCTTATAAAAAGATTAGTTATCTGTGCTGTAGTCTTTTATTATTTGCTAGAATGTTTTATTTTTCTATAAAACTTCTAGTTGTTTTTGTTATTCTTTCTTTTTCCTTAGTACTGTTTGTACTATAACTTAGTCTAGTTTTTTTTCTAGCTTCTTTTTTGTGAATTTGGTAAAAAGAATTAGCAGAAAGAGTTTTTTTTTGTATTTTTGATAAATATATTATATTTAAATTAATATATATTTTTATTAATTATGTTAATTAATAAAATTTTTTATAAAAAACAAATATAAAGTATAAGACAACTAGTATTTGGCAAAAACTTAATTATTAAGTTTTTGAATCTATTGATTTATAGTATAGTACTTTAATTATAAAATCTATTTTTACTCTAATCTGACTTTAAACTTTATGTTAGTTATTATAAAGTCTAAATTCTGTTAGATTTATATATACTAAAAATAAAATTTATATTTAATACTCAATATTGTAAATTAATAGATTCAAAAACTCAATAATAGAGTTTTTGTTTAATTTTGCCAAGCACTAAAGACAACTTGAAAATTTATTTTTTTGGAATTATTTAATGGAACTAATAGAAAAAAATTAACTAGCAACTTAATTTTTTAATTTTATATATATAAAGTAAAAAAATTAACTTTGTATAACTCTAGATATAAATTAATTTACTTAGATTAATAAAAAAATTAATCACTATCTAAAATTTTAAAATCTATATAATGCAAAACAAAAGATTAATTTTGTATAGCCAATTATAGCAAATTACTTTTTTATTTTATTGATAAAAGTGTATATATAGTTTACTAAATCTTAATAAAAATAATTTTAGTTTGAATATCTTTTGCTAAATACTAATTGTAAAAATATACACTATTATATTTAAATAATTAAAACTTCAAAATTGTTAATTTTATATTATAAAAATTCTTTGTCTATATATATACTCCTATGAAAAAAGTTTTACAAAAATTTAAATAAATTATAATTCAACCTCTTTATAGCATAATAGAAGTTTGTTTTAATTAATCAATATTTTACATGATCTATTTGCAATTACTATAATAATTAACTAATCAAATTATATAATTTTTAAAAATTCAATGCTCTTAATACTATTTGAAAACAAAGAAAAACTTTATATAAAAACTTTACAAATTAAAAATATTTATTATATATATTTTAAAAAATATATAAATATATATAAAGTTTATAAATATATATATATATATATTTTACTTAGGTAGTTTTACTAGTATTTATTAGAATTCTAAATTCATTGCTACTTTAATATACTTGTTTATTTCTAATTTGCAAATTTGATTTCTCTCAGCTGTTTTATAGATATACAAATACAACCTGCTGCACTAATTTAAAAAATAAACTAAAAATTAAAAGCTATATTAAACTAGCCTAAATGCTATATCATAATAGCTTTTTTCTTTTTTGTATTTTTTTAACTAACAGAGAATTTAATAAGAAAAAAATAAGTGAAAAGAAAATATAAAAAAGAACAAAAGCCAAGAAAATAAAACCACAAAAAGAAAAAAAAATAAATAAAAAATAAAAAGAAAAACAAAAAAAAGAATCTATATAATATAAGCATAAAGACTAGTTTAATGAAAAATCAAACAAAATAAAAAGAAAAGAAAAAAATCTATCAAAGAAAAAGAAAGATAACTATACACTATTATAACCTGTATTAGGCTTAGATAAAATTATAAACAAATACAATAATTGTATATCTCTATTGTAAAGCTTTGTTTTAATCTATATTCTTTTCTAACTATACTATCAACTTTGTATATTTTTTAACTATTAATTAGAGCAATTTCAAATAAAGTAGTATTATATTTGTATTTATAAACAAACAAGCATGCTATATAATTGTATTCTACTAGGTCTATTTGAATTTAAAAAAGTAAATAATGCTAATTTTTTGAAGAAGATAACCAAAATCTCTACTTTTAATAAAAATTTTAAAAAAGCACAAGTAAAAAAAGTAATAAAAGGATTATTTGTACTAGATTATAGATGAAACTAATTAAGTTTACTAAAAAACTAGTATATTAATAGTTCATTATTAGTGTACTATTAAAGATTAGTTTTATTTATAACTATAGTCTTACTATTAGTGTACCAGTTTTACTTACAACTCTAACTTGTACTAATAAAGAAGTGTTATAATTTTTTTCTGGACTAAA